AGCTACATATATGTCTAAAAACATCATTAAAAAGACTATAACTTCACTTTAACTAGAGTGTATTGCAATATTTGTTTCTTGTTATATAAGAAAATGCGGTTTTATAAATATATGTATGTATATATTGGAATATGTAATTCAAAAGTATTTAAAGTTAACCAGTAAATGTCCTACACAGTGGGACGTTCTTTTACCTGGCAAGCTGTCTTTATGGGTTTTATACATAAATGTTAATAAATAAAACATGTAAGGTATTTTTACCCATATAAGAAATATGTATTTTATCCCAACAGATTCTCAAACGAATGAATTATTGAATTTTCTGAATACCTGATTTATGAGCTGGATAACACTGCCTTAAGCCTAAATCATTTCTAATAAAACAAGGCAAACTTCCCTAAGTTCTTTTTTAGCATAATATTACATTGGAAAATGCCTGTACTCAATGTAGACATAGCTGATTGCTTCTGCCATCTGTGTTACTGTAAAGAAAATCTCTAGCATGGTATGCATACTTCAGGTGATCTACATATAAAACACAACCTGAAGTTAAATCCATTTGAATAATGAATATACAGTATAAGGTAGCTCTTTAAAGAAACCACACTTTAAAGGCAAAATGTACTCATTGACAGTGAATGTTTTTTTAGTCAGATGGGGAGATGATCATTACTGGTGCCCATACACCTCTTTGCCTACCTCCTAACTCTCCCAACCCCCACCCCCCAAGCACCCCCGGCACTGTTTTTACCAACAAAAAAAGTTTCTATATTCCTTTTTTTTCTAGGTGTCATCACGAGTTCTCTTCACCCTCTTTTTTCTTCAGTCATAGGTGAATCCTAAATGTTGTACAGTGCAACGCTACATAAGAACTCATGTAAGCATTCTGCTATAAGCTTATTGCCCTGGGCTCACAAGAAGTGGCTTGAATGATAGTAAGCAGCAATGATCTAAGGTCCAGATTGAACCCAGTTCAGCACAAAATGGCTGGAAACTGTTACATGATAGGAAGCTGATGGGCTAATCAGCTACAGCCAAGGAATTTTCTGCCCTTCAGCCACACATAACAAAGAAGCAGGGAAGCTATTGACATCATAGACCTAAAATAGTCATGAGGCTATATCTGGGAAAGGTTTGACCAAATATGGCCATGTGGCTATATTAGTGCAATAATGTTATCAGCATCCCTGTCCTTTTGGAAATTTCCTGGTTGCAATTGATTGATCTATAGTTGGGAAGATACTGGAGAGTTTAATAAAAGACCAAATAGATGAGTTCTTCCTGAAAAAAAATATTTAAAAAAAAATATTTTAAGCAACTGACAGCATGGATTCAGGAAAGAAAGAAGTTGTCAAACAAATCAGATTTCTTTTTATGAGGAGGTGAGCAAAACCTTGGACAGAGGAGTGGCGATAGACGTGGTATACTTGGATTTTGCAAAAGCGTTTGACACAGTTCCCCACAGATGGCTAATGTGTAAGGTAAAGTCTACCGGCTTGAAAAAATCAGTATGTAAATGGGTAGAAAACTGGCTAAAAGATCGTATTCAAAGAGTAGTGGTTAATGATTCATATCTATAAATGATATAGGGTCTGGGATTAAAAATACCATTTCAGTCTGTGCAGATGACACCAAGCTGCTCAGTGGAATAATGTCCATACAGGATGTCTCCAACTTGCAAGCCGACCTCAATGCACTTTTTAATTAGGCAACTATGTGACAAATGATTTAATGATGATAATGGTAAGGTTATGCACTTGGGACTAAGAATATGCATGCATCATACATACTAGGGGGAGTACAACTGGGAGAATAATTCCTGGAGAAGGATCTGGGAGTTCGTGTAGATCATAAACTTAATAATGGCATGCAGTGCCAAGCTGCAGTTTCTAAAGAGAGCAAAATCCTCTCTTGTATTAAAAGAGGTATAGACTCCAGAGAGAGAGAGATCATTTTACCCCTGTACAAATCATTAGTAAGACCTCATCTGGAATATGTAGTTCAGTTTTGGACAATTCACAAAAAGAACATTGGGGAACTGGAGAAAGTGCAGAGAAGGGCAACCAAACTGATAAGAGGCATGGAGGAGCTCAGCTATGAGGATAGATTAGACGAACTGAATTTATTCTCTCTTGAGCCCCTCTTCACGCTTAGGTCATACAAGAGGGCACTCTTTACATCTGGAGGAAAAGAGATTTAATCTCCAAATACGGAGAGGTTTCTTCACAGTAAGAGTTGTGAAAATGTGGAATAGACTCCCTCAAAAGTTGATTTTGGCCAGCTCAGTGGATTGCTTTAAAAAAAAGGTCTGGATTCTTTCCTAGATACACAGAATATACCTGGGTACTAACTTTTTATATTCCAGGGAATATCCGATTGCTTCTCGGGGGATCAGGAATTAATTGTTTCACTCTTTGCTAGGTTTTTTTTTCCTTTCTCTGGATCAACTGTGGGTATAGGATTATAATTTTTTTTTTATGGTTGAACTAGATAGACTTTTGTCTTTTTTCAGCCAGACTAACTATGTAACTATAAAGGGTCAGCTGCCTGCTATCATGTCACAGCTTCGCATGGGTTAAGAATGAACTCAGTTCAGCCTGAAACTAAGCTCATCACGAATGCAAGGCAGCCTTCAAGCCAGAAAAGGAACACTGAAACCTTTCTGTATTGGTGAGTCTGTTGGGAACAATGCAGGTGAGAAGCTTCTTTTTATTTTTAAGGGCCCTTTCATTTTTAAGATCACCTCTTATTTGTCTTTTGGATCAGATCATTTTTTCCTCAAGCTGGATTTGGACTTTAAGGATACTGCTTATTAGAGGCTCAGCATGTTCCTATGGTACCTGGCAGTGCTGGCCCCATTAGTTTTGTTCACTGCCCTACAGAATGACCTTTACGCATCAGGCACCTTCATTTTCTAACAATCAGAGAACAGAACCTCTGTTACCATGCCAAGGTGGGAAAGTGCGTACAAATATCTTAAAGTGAAAATTCCTTCCCAGTAACTCCTCCTTCCTTTCTTTGGCCACTTTGGATTTTTCATTCCAAGTTTCTGTTGTTTTCTTAAGTTAAGAGAGGCATAAGAGTGTGTTCAAACCATAAGAATGCAGTAGGTGTGTGCATATTGATGCTTCTATTTGTTTTAAATATTTGTCTTTTTCATTAAATGTTTACACTTTGTGTACTAGTGCCAATCAGGCATAACAAAATGTGAGTGTAATTTGTTTTATTGACTTTTCTCTTTTAATCAAATAAATATACTACACTATGGATGTTTTATTTCTCTGAGTGTATGTGTGTCGCTTCCATCTATGAGAGATTACTCATTAGAAGATTGTGATGTTACGTGCTCCATTTTCTCTTCTTGCTGATGGTCTCAACTGAGAGGCTTACTGGTTAAGATCTGGTAAGTTATTAATCTTACCACACATGGTGGATCACTGGATTTGGTCTATGGAATGAACACTTACAGTACCATCTCCTTCTGTAAACACAGTGTATGGGCTCTCTGTGGATTTGTTGCATGGACACTTTATAATTTTCTGGATTAGATATCACATATTTGCATGGACACTTTATGATTATCTGACTGGATATTATATATTGATTATTTTTCACAGATTATGCAGATAGTTTTCAATTTATTTTAGAGGTATTGGTATCACTTATTTCAGGAGTAGCTCCTACCTTTAGTTATTGTTTTTTTTAGAAATTCTCTGGTGATCAGGACAGCAGAAGCAAAGAGAAAGCAAGGAAAGTCCGCACAAAGTACAGAGATTCATTCTTCATTTTGTTTGAGGGACTCTATGAGAATTGTTTGGTAAATAATAGTCCCTGAGTAAAAAGACATTCTATCAAACACATTCAGAAGCTGAGACCTTGCAGCTAACCATCTTAATGAGAAGAACTGTTAGAACACATTAGGACATCTGATACAATCTGATCATACCCGAGTGGGTTGTGGATATTCTAGATAGAGGACTTTGCTAAGGTAAACCAGTGAGGACATTCATCCCACACTAATGCTTGTAGGGTTTGTTATGGGATCTCTCTGCATTTCCAGGAGTGTGTTGGGTTCTGTGTTTCCAGTGTTTACTATTTTTTCTTGAGAATGCCAACAGTATATGGCCTTGTTATTATAAGCACACATATTGGTGGACATTAAGGACAATGCCTGGTTACAGTCAGTATATACTGTATACTGATATCCCGAAGCTAAACTGAGATGTGAAAAGGCATTATTCACTAGAGGAAATATAAATTACAATGACCTTGCTGTAGGTTATTATACATCATTGCTATTTTGCTTTGTCATATAAAATAATCCCTGAGGTATGTTACTCATATAGTACCTAAGGTAATTATGGCTTCATTTAAAAACATATGCAAACTTTTACTTCCTTGCATAAACATACTGACAAGCAAGCAGTACCGACAAGCGAAATGTTGGTATTGCTGATTTGTTGAAACATACCTACAATTGAGTGGACAAGAAGAATTTAGTTTAGATGTCAAATTACTTTAGGAAGTACTGAAAGAAATATAGGGGACTCTATTGTCCTTCCTCTGACAATGCATCTGTTTGACTATCTCTTGCTTCAGAGGTTTCTAAGTAACCAAGCTATAATAAGCATACAGATTAAGAAAGTCAGATCTCCTAGTGTGTAAACTTGTTCTAGGACAGTGATTCAAAAAATATTAAATCCACTAGATCAACATGGCAGCCCAGGATCAAGTATTTTTGGAATGCAAGAACAGCAATGGTGACCTCCATACTATTGAGTAGTAGAGTTTTTTTTAAATCAAGATATGTTGTTATTTTGTTGGAGTAACATGAAAGAAGTCTTGCTTTTTAATGGGGGGATTGCAAAGTACCATGAAACACTGTGGTAAGAAAAACATACACTATATTGCAAAAAGTATGGGACACCCCTCCAAATTATTGGATTTAGGTGTTCCAATTACCTCGATGGCCACAGGTGTATAAAATCAAGCACCTTGGCATGCAGACTGCTTCTACAAACATCTGTGAAAGAATGGGTCACTCTCAGGAGCTCAGTGAATTCAAGCATGGGACGGTGAGAGGTTGCCACCTGTGCAATAAGTCCATCCGTGAAATTTCCTTGCTACTAAATATTCCACATGCAACTGTTAGTGGTATTATAAACAAAGTGGAAGCAACTGGGAACAACAACAACTCAGCCACACAAAGTGGTAGGCCACATTAAATGACAAAGAGGGGTTAGCGCATGCTGAAGTGCACAGTGCACAGAAGTCGCCAACTGTCTGTAGAGGCAATAGTTAAAAGACCTTCAAACTTCATGTGGCCTTCAGATTAGCACAACAATATTGTGTAGAGAGCTTCATGGAATGTGTTTCCATGGCCGAGCAGCTGCATCCAAGCCTTACATCACCAAGTGCATTGCAAAGCGCCGGATGCAGTGGTGTAAAGCACTCCATCACTGGACTCTAGAGCAATAAAGACATGTTCTCCAGAGTGACAAATCACGCTTCTCTGTCTGGCAATCTTATGGATGTATCTGGGTTTGGTGGTTGCCAGGAGAACAGTACTTGCTGACTGCATTGTTCCAAGTGTAAAGTTGGTGGAGGGGGGATTTTGGTGTAGGGTTGTTTTTTCAGAGGCTGGGTGTGGCTCCTTAGTTCCAGTGAAAGTAACTGTTAAGGTGTCTGCATACCAAGACATTTTGGACAATTTCATGCTCCCAACTTTGTGGGAACAGTATGGGTATGGCCTCTTCCTGTTCCAACATTATTGCGCACCATTGCACAAAGCAAGGTCCATAAGGACATGGATGAGCGAGTTTGGGGTGGAGGAACTTGACTGGGTTGCCACAGAGTCCTTACCTCAACCCTATAGAACACCTTTGGATGAATTAGAGCAGAGACTGCGAGCCAGGCCTTCTCATCCGACATCAGTGCCTAACCTCACAAATGTGCTTCTGGAAGAATGGTCAAACATTCCCATAGACACACTCCTAAACCTTGTGGACATCCTTCCCAGAAGAGTTGAAGCTGTTATAGCTGCAAAAGGTGAGCCAACTCAATATTGAACCCTACAGACTAAGACTGGGATGCCATTAAAGTTCATGTGCGTGTAAAGGCAGCGTCCTAATACTTTTGCAATATAGTGTATTTACGAAGGTTCATATAGGTAAAAGAAACACATCTAGGATTTAATATTATTGAGAATCTTTGAACATTTAATTTCTAAAGAAGAGAGAGAAATTTAACAACGTCAAGGATCATAAAGGAACAATTTGCTGATGTATGCTACCAATGATATTACTGTAATAATAGAAATTGCACCATTCACTTTTGAATAGAGCTACTTGTATCTACAGCAGCACCATGGTAACCAGAATGTCATTAAGCAAGACAAAAGCAACAGTAAAAGAAAATCATATGTGAACTGAGAGTTTTTCTGCAATTACATATTTCAGCAGATATGGAAACTTTTCAGATCAATGAAAACATCATAAGTTGTATGTTGATATCTGTTTCCCAGTTTTTTGTTGATAGTACTCCCATAGAAAACCTTGACTTTAATGAAGCAGTTATTCCATATTAGAATCTATATTAATTCTGGAAACATCTACTGCATATTCATGATTTTTGTAAACATATTTAGGGTTAGGCAAACCTATCCACCAAGTTCAAATTTGACCCTGGAATTGGGCTACTCTGGCAGCTGGGGAAGGATTCCCCGAAATATACTTAAAAGAAAACCGACCTAAAATTAAGCCGATGAAACCCAATTTACCACAAAAAACTTTGGAAAAAATATTGAACCACGAGTATAAAACTGAGGGTGGGGAACACCATGGGAAAAAAACTGGCCTCATCATTGGGGTCCTTGGGGGGAATAGTGCCCCTTTATTGGGTCAGTTTGGGAAAGGGAAAAGTGCCCCATCATTGGGAACAGTGGGAAGAAAACGTGCCTCACATTGGTGTCAGTTTGGAGGAATAGTGCCCCACATTGGTGTCAAAGGAAGGGGAAAAGTGCCCCATCAAATTTGGGACAGTGGGAGGAATAGTGCCCCACATTTGGGATCAATGGGAGGGAAAAGTGCCCCATCATTGGAACATGGGGGGGAATAGTGCCCCATCATTTGGGGTTTATTGGGGGGAATTGGCCCCCTCATTTTGGGATCAGTGTGAGGGTTAATGCCGCCAAACATTGGGGTCCCGTTTTGGGGGGAATAGCGCCCCATCATTGGGGTCAGTGGGGGGAATAGGGGCCCCAACATTGGTACATGGCAGGAATATTTCCCCATCAATAGTACAGGGGGGGAATAGCACCCCAAATTTTTGGGGGTCAGTGGGGGAATAGGTCCCACATTGGTTCAAATGGGAGGAATAGTGGGCCCCCAAAATTGGGGGTCCCGTGGGAGGAATATTTTCCCATCTTTTTTGTCCCCGTGGGGGGGGGGGGGGGGGAAAATAGTGCCCCTTTTTTGGGGTCCCGTGGAGGGGGGGAAAAGTGCCCCATCGGGTTTGGGGGGGCAGGGGGGGGGGGGGAGGAATAAATCCCCCGGTTGGGTCAGTGGGGGGTTTGGGAAAAGTGGGTCCATGAATTTGGGGTCGGGGGGGGGGAAAAGTGCCCCCCTCATTGGTGTCAGTTTTGGGGGGGGGGAATAGGCCCAAATCGTTTTGGGGTTCCCGTGGGGGGGGGGGGGGAAAAATTTCCCCCCCGTTGGGGTCATTTGGGGGAAAAAAATTTCCCCATCATTGGAAACAGTGACACCAATGGAAAGGGGCACTAATTTCCCCCCACCCGAACCCCCTTGCTGACCCCCCCCTTCCCCATTTTTGGGGGTGCTGGGTTTTCCAAACCCCCAAAAATGTGATTGGGAAACAGCACCTAAAACAACCCGGGACACCTTTCCTGCATCTTCCCCCTTTACCTTTTGCTTTTTTTCGCGGGGGGCCCCCACCAGCTCCTCCTCCCCCGCCGGTTTTATTTGGCCCCCCGTTTGCCTTTTCCCGACTACATTTTGGCGGGCCAAAACACCGTGAGAAGGGGGAGCCAGCAGGCCCGGCGAACATCCAGTTGGGGCGGGAACCCGAATAAGGAACAAAAACCCCGCTTTTCCGGACCCCCGGGTCCCTCTTGGGGAACCCCCGGGGTGCCCGTAAGAGACAAGTAAAAGTTTTCTATGCACTGCAAATTCCCCCCCAGAGGGGAAATTAATTTTTATAGAGAACCCGCTTAAAAAAAAGGGGAAACATTGGATATATAAATTGGGTACCCTGTAAAACCCAAGGGGTTAAATGTGGGAAAGTGATTCCCAAAGGTTTTTTTTTGGGAAAAAAAGGTTTGGGGCTATGTACCCCCCGGGGTTGGGAATATTTAAAAAAATATGGAGATCTTTACATATGGGGTTTTTTTATATAGCTCTAAAACAAAAAGCAAAAGGGCTTACTGTCTGGTTAAATTTTCCCCTTTAATTGACCTTATGGCTCTGAACAATAACCCCTACTAAAGGGGTGGAAAGTTTTAAAAAAAGGGGTATTTCTGTTATTAAGACCCCCCATGTGAAAATTTTAGATTAAATTGCCCAAATTGGGGTATTTGGGTTTGGGAATTTTTTTTGATAATTGATAAAAGGGCTCCCCCCCAAAAAAACCCCATTCCCGTAGATGGGAAA